AGTGCTTGACTTTCTGCTACATATGTGTAAACAAATTGTCTCGTTTTTGCTATCTGTATGGATGAGCCAGTCATTTAAAGTGGCTATAAAAGCAAAACATTTTTTTTTACCTTAATGCATTTTCGGCACTTCCTCCATTGGCCTCTAAACACTTACCTGACACCACTCTCGATCCAGTGCTGTGAGTTGTTTTCCACTAACATAGTGTTGTTTCTGGGATAGGAAGTGAAGTTTTAGAAATTGAAATGTTCCAAATAGTACACACACAGCAAAAAAAAAAAAAAAAAATAGGCATAGATTTCTCCCCATGTTGGCTTAGCTTCCTCTTCTAATTCCTAATGCTATGCCTTTTTAGTACTTACAAAAATGCCTTGGGGAGCTCCTTGGGGAGCTAAGAAACAATCCAATAATGGCAAATTAAAGCTAAAGGCAAAGCATTTTTTAGTTTTGGATAGAGTGCATATTTGTATTGTTTTCTGTACTCCCGTTAAATAGATTCACCCTTTCTATTTGTCCTGTTTACCATTATTATTATTATATACAGGATTTATATAGCGCCACCAGTTTGCTCAGCACTTTACAATATAAAGGAGACAATACAGCAACAATACAGTTCAATACAAGAGGGTTAGGAGGGCCCTGCTGCTCGGAGATTACCATTATCATTCAAAGTGAAAATAAAATAAAATCCCAAACTTTGGGTTCTCCCCAAAAACATAATAGAAGGGAAATCTTCCAATGGGGACACTAGTTCTATTGACCTGGGGGCCCCCAAGGAATTCCCTAAAGTGTTACTAAACCCATGACCCTGCATTCACTATATCTGGTCTCCCACAGTACACAGAACATGGAAATGTAACTATTGCAGTACATATAAATTGCTAAATACCTTTTCTCATCAGCAGTTATAGCAGTCTTGTAACTTCTATCAGTGTCCAGCAGAGCACTGGTTAAAGCTTGTAGGAGGAGTTTTCATTCTCCCCTGATTGTCCAATGAGGCTGCAGGACTCCTATCCCTCTGTCTGGACAGTGTTGATCGGCCCTGTGCTGAACATACTTTTTACACAACACAGGATTAACCCCTTAGGTTCCACAGCGAGTATAACAATCATGCTTTACTGCATATACAGACTGATTTTACTGTTGTGGGTTTAGTAACACTTTAATTTGTAGGGATCTCCTCTCACTTGCTGTTTGGGACAGGAAGTTAAGGGAAAATTTCTGTAATGGGTCACAGATGGAAAAAAACATATGACAGGGGATAAAACCCTCCCTTAATCTATCTAAAATGAAAAAAAAATGTTTTGCCTATAGTTCTACTTTGAAGAAGAGATTATCATGGCTGTACTACCTGACTCAGAATGACAGATACTGGTATTTAGAATGGAACTAGGAAACCACATACTTACTAGGTTTCACTGAAGCAATTAAACACTTGCAACATGTACAGTAGTTGCAAATCTCTGAAATTAAAAAATGAACAAAGCATATCCTTCTATAGTGTGTACTTGCCTTGATCTAAAGCACCTACAGTGTTTTTCTGTCTGCTGTCTCATTCCTCTGCTGTCTGCACAAGTCCCTTTTGACAGTCCATGCCTACACCAGACAATACCAGGAGACAGCCTTGTTCCATCTCCAGCACACAGCAGGTGATTGACAGCTGTGCATGTTTCCTCATGAGATTGCGTAGAATGGGGGTATTCTTTCCTTCCACTCAGGTCATAGATTATACTAAACTCTCTGCTTTATGCTGTGCAGCGTGACATCTGATCCCCACCTTCTTTGTCTTCTGTAGCTTAGAAATGTTGTATAAAATATGTGAATAGAAACACAAGATAGAAACACATGCACACTAGCCATTTATTAATATCAGTATAACATATGTGCGTTAGAAGGCTGCAATGGAGAGAGGGGAGCAGATAGACAGGTACAACTTACATGGAGTTGTTTAATTTCTGTGTCTAACCTGAGTCTAGTAACTTCAGTAGACATATGTAAGAGTTTACATTCACTATAAGCCTATGATATCTCTACCTCTAACTGGTATAAGGAAAGTATTATGCTAACAAATGTGTGTCCATTTCTGAACAACATCATTTTGGAAGTAAGGACAGGTTTATCTAACACCTTATGGTATCTCTTTATGTCAGCTTTAGAATGTGTAGCCTCCCTGGCGGTCTGATTATGCCCATATTTCTGTGCTCAAAGCGGTACTATTATTTTGCATGGAAAAATGTCGCTTTTTTATTGTAGGCCTGTAATTTTTAGAAATAACTCACTGAAATCTGTCCGAACAAGAGTCTAGTAAACATCCCGGGTATGTTAAAATTTGAAACACAAAATTATAAATTATAATTTAATAAATAATCATAAAAAATAATAATATAATGATAATGAATTTAATTTAATAATATAATCAAACCAAAAACACTGAAATCTGAAATATAGCGCCAAGTTCGCACATCACTGAGCAAAGTTGCAAAATCATTTTCAGTGTCTGATGACGAATTTCCCCACGAATCATTATCACTCAATTCTGCAAGTGGTTCTGATTTACTATCGCTGTACTCTAGCTGGTCTAAAACCACTTTTGACCTAAAGGGACGCTTTTTGGATGTCATGGACATTTCTCAGTTTCCAGGCAGAAAGAACAGTAAAAATGCAGGCAGGGGACAGGACAAAGCACTAGGGACAAAATGTATGTGAAATGGTTTGATACAGTAATGTTTTACTATGTGATTTTAGTGTATTTAGTGAATGTCACTTTTTCACATTTTTGAATTTCCCGCCGTTCTGTCCCCATACGTCCTGACGTCGCAGGGAACGGAACCCAGAAGACGGATGCCGGCATCCGCCGGAGGACATTGCCGGGGACGCTGCAGGGGGGAAATCACGGGAGCAAAGGACAAGGTAAGTGAAGAACAGGTCCCAGAGCAACGCTGCAAGTTATTCCCGAGTGTAGCTCGGGGTTACCACTTTTGGTACTGAAACTTTACTCCGAGCTACACTCGGGAATACCGCCAGGGAGGTTAACAAGGGGGGTAGGGGATCAAATTCTCATTTTACTCACTGAACTGCAACTCAAATTATAACACTTGTATCATGTGTTTTTTTTCTGGATTTTTGGTAGATATTCTGTCTCTATCATTTAAACTACACCTATGATAAAAATTATAGACCCTTCACTTTTTTGTAAGTGGGCAAACTTACAAAATCTGCAAGGGATCAAATTATTATTTACGCCACTGTACCTACCTTAATCCTCTGCAAACACATTGGTTTGAATAATTGTTTTAGCTTTGATTTTGTTTGGTCATGAAGTAGTATTTTTTTTTGTATGCTGGTTTCTTTTGAGCTGAAACTGGAAAAGAAATATTGCTGGAACGCACTAAAATACACATGTCCCTGATTAAATTGACGAAAAAGAGAGGGGAAAAAATTAACTGGAATGCATAAAAAAATGCACTGGAACACGTCAAAAATGCATCCAAAATGCACTGTCACAGTCTAAACATGCATCAAAAACGTGCATGCAAAAACGCATCTGGAAAACATCTAGACTGTGTTTCTATACTGTGAACTGGCTCTTAGGACTTGTTCACACCATTTGTGGTGCAGAAACGCATGCAGGAGCACTCATTTTCTTGCACAGGAAAGAAATGCAATGCCCTCTGCAGATGTGCACAGGTACCATGATGCAAACTTGATTGCACCTCCACACGTCTAGTAAACACAGATGCATTCACAGCCACCAAAACACATGGCACCACACTACTGTGTGGTTAGGTGCAACACACTTTTAAAATAATATGCCTGCAGTATTTTTGCATGTTCCCACATGTTTCATACGGGTCCTCTGGCCTGTACAGCATGAATGAGGGGGTTGTTCATGTGGCTGGAGCCACCTGTTATACTATGGGGACACAGCAGCAGTATGAACACAGGTTTTAATCTGACAGGTGTGCAGGCATGGGGAAGTGGCCCTGAATGCTCACTGTCTGTGTTCAGGGCTGTACACCTGCACCCATATGCTTGTCAAATTAGGACCTGCAGCATTTCTATAGTGTAACATAGGTTGCCTGCAAATGGCGACAGCCACAAAAACAAACCACTGATTCCCACTCTACAGGCCACAGCACCCATATGAATGAGCCCCAAGACCTCAATTACACACACAGCCTTATTTATGAACTCAGTACAGTTTTATCATTTAGATTTCACAGGAATATGGTTGGGATTGTGTCCATTAATAAAGTTTTTAGTGCATTTTTACCATAAATATTATTTGGATATTTTCTCTGGGGGTTGGGGGCTGTCAGGTATGCTGTACGGGGCCCCGTGATATCTAACAGTGGCCCTGGGTGTATGCTTGTGTCTGTGCCACCTGTATAGTTAAGAAGAACAATAACTTCTATGGAATATCTTGAACCTCTGCTATGTACCTCAATGTATCTAGGAATCGGATATGTTTTCAACTGAAAATACAACAATTATTAGTAATGTTTTCCCTGAAGCAAGCATGAACTAACCCCTTAGTATTATAAAGCATCCTGAATTCTCATTTTCCAGAATGTACCCAATTATGCATAGGCCAGATCTGTGTGCCCAGATAGGACCTCCCAGTGGCTATTCTATGGACAAGGTACACTTTTCTTTATGCCTGATCTATGTTGAGCTGCATTAGTCAATACGTTGCAATGTTCAGAAATATTTGGATCCAAACCACATGAGCTCAGGTATCCAAATGTGATAGTTCCTTCATAGCAAACCTTCATTATGTACTGTATGTACCTGGCCCACTCGAAATGGATGCATTGTTCTGGTAGGTCCTCCTATTACAGACTATAGCTATATGTTGAGGAAATTGCACTGACTTTTTATCAGATTGCATATTATCTGGCCATCTTAAAGCGGAGTTCCACTCACCCTGTCAAAAAATAAAAGTCAGCAGCTGCAAAAAACTGTAGCTGCTGACTTTTAAAAAAAAACAGCCACTTACCTGTCCCTCGGTCCCGTGGTGTGTCCCCTGCAGCCCGTTTCACCGGCCGTCCTGTATTCCAGGAGACCGGCATCTTCAATGTGGGCACCCGGCTGTGATAGCTTGCGGCTTCACAGCCTGGTACCCACTGCACATGTGCGAGTAGCGCTGCACTTCATGAATGGTCCTGTAGTCTTCTGGGACCTGTCACATGTCCCAAAAGACTACAGGGAGGGAGGAAGGGAGGACACCTTCCACTTTCAATCGCCTAGGCAATCAGACCGGAAATGGGTGCGGGTACCTGTCAAATTTGGGTACCTGCCCCCCCTGCACCCCAAAGGTGCCAATCCTTAATGGTGAGCGGGGGAGCAGTTCTTAAAGCAGAACTTCCCCTTTTTGGTGGAGCTCCCTTTTACGTCTCGGAAATAGAATCAAGAGGATATGACACTGTTTTAAGGAACCAAAAATTAGTCTTTATTTGACAAAACACAAAAAAAAGGCAATACATGGCCTGATGGAAAGGTATGGCTGCCAGCTTCCAATTTTTGTGCAAACCAAAAACTGGCACCACTGTTTGCCAGCACATGGCTCAAACATATCTGAAAAATATGGAGACTCCGATATGCGGTGCAAGTTCGTTCAGGAATGAGAAACAATTATACACATCCAAAAGCAGGATTGAGGAAAGGGATGGTCAAGTTGCTGTGCTGCTTCCAAACCACCTCTAGCATGCCAGGGTGTTTATGTAGGTCCTTGATGCCAGTTCTTCCCTGGTGCCACAAAATATCCACTGGCCACAAATGAAGGCGAGTGGAGGACATGAAGGTGGCTTTCTCCAAGCTTGACTCGCCAGCAGGACCACTCCTGTAAAATGAGAGCAAATAATCATGACATTTCATCATGACAATCACTTCTCAGTGCAGCTTAGAGTATCTTTTTCATTTTTTACCATTTCAGAAGGTGAGTGGAGGCCATGAAGGTGGCTGTCTTCCAGCTTGAACTGCAAGCAGTACCACTCCTGTAAAATGAGAGCAAATAATCATTGACATTTCATCATGACAATCACTTCTCAGTGCAGGCTAGCTAGAGTATCTTTTTCATTTTTTACCATTTCAGAAGTTGAAGAAAACATTCTAGGATCATTTACTGTGTTTGGAAGACACAAGGTCCCCCCTCCCCCAGGCACACTAATGCTTACTTGAAGTTGAGCCCCATCCTGATTCCCTGATGTGCTTGAAAAACTTGGCTCTCTGGGATCAGTGGCTCATGAGTGTGTCTTCTTGGGCTCACACCAGAACAAGGTGCTTGTTCTGGGGGCACTGGACAGGACAGAGGGGCCAAGGAATGCTGGTGGGGGAGCAACGAAATGAAGGATCTGGGCTGCTCTGTGGCAAACTACTGTGCAGAGCAGGTAAGTCTTACATGTTTATTATTTTAATTTGGAACAATTGTTAAGATCACTTTTCCAAACCCAACTGTGATGCCAGACAGCTAATTCCATCAGACGTTCCAGGATCTCCCTCTGCCTTGTGCTCCAGCAGTTAATCTGCTGAAAGAAAAATAAAAACATTTCGATACATAGCAGAGGTTCTTTTTTCTTCATAAATCTACAGGTGGCACAGACAATAGCCAAAATTGGCCAGCTGTTCTACTCCCTCTCCACTCCCTTGCCCACAGCCACAGCATTTATTCAAGTAATGTTTGAGTGGCCAGGATAACTTGTTGACAACTCTGGCTAAAATGGCAAGCACCACTTTGCGCCAGCCCTATAGTTTTGGTCTAACTGCACTTTTGGTCCCAAACGTATGGACTCTGAAGATCAACTTGCTGAATAATATCTCCCAGGATGCCCCCTCCAGATAACCGCCTAAGGGTCAGCCGTAATTCCTCATAAACATAAGCTCAACATAGTGCTTTATCCTTTAACCACCTCCCGCCTGCCATATAGTCCAATGACAGGAGCAAGGTGGTTCTCTCGTTCTGAGAGGACATCATATGTTGTCCTCCCATTCTCACCACGCATGCGCGGCTCAGGGAGCGCGCAGCGTGGCGATCGGCGGTGCGCTGTGTCCCTCGGACACAGCGGATCACCAATCACGAAAAGAGCCAGGCGGGAGGTGGTTAAAGGATAAAGCACTATGTTGAGCTTATGTTTACGCTGACAGCTCGAGAGGAGAGCCAGTAATCGGCTTTCCGCGGAGTGGACATGTACACTGATCATTAGGGCCCTGATGATCAGTGTGCCCTGATGATCAGTGTAGCCCCTGCAGTGCCACCTGTCAAAGTCCATTAGTGCCAGCTCTCGTGCCGATCAGTGCCACATGCCAGTGCCGATCAGTGCCACATCAATGCCACATATCAGGGCCTACCAGTGCACATTAATGCCACATATTAGTGCCCATCTGAGCTGCCTTTCAGTGTCATCCATCAGTGCCAGTCAGTGCCACCTATCAGTGCCAATCAATGCCACCTATCAGTGCTGCCAATCAGTGCCGCCTATCAGTGCCAGTCAGTGCCGCCTATCAGTGCCAGTCAGTGCCACCTATCAGAGTGCATCAGTGCCACCTCAGTGCCAGTCAGTGCCGCCTAACAGTGCCAGTCAGTGCCGCCTATCAGTGCCATGTATCAGTGCTGCCTTTCAGTGCCCATCAGTGATGCCTGTCAATGCCCATCAGTGCCACCTACCAGTGCTTTCTCATCAGTGACCATCAGTGCCACCTATCAGTGTCCATCAGTGCAGCCTATCAGTGCCCATCACTGCAGCCTCATTAACGCACATCAGTGAAGGAGAAAAATCACTTATTTACAAAATTTTATAACAAAACCTAAGAAAAAACGGGGTCTTTTTTCAAAATTTTCAGTGGTTTTTGGTTTGTTTAAGAAAAAATAAAAAAAACCCGAGGTGATTAAATACCACCAAAAGAAAGCTCTATCTGTCACAAAAAAATGATAAAAATGTCATATGGGTACAATGTCGAATGACCGCGCAATTGTCATTTAAAGTGCGACAGCGCTAAAAGCTGGAAATTGGCCTGGGCAGGAAGGGGGTATTAGTGCTCAGTAGGCTAGTGGTTAAAACACTTTTATTGCACAATAAACCATAAGAAATGAACTCACATTCTGGAGGTGCATACCGCACCAGGTATGATGAACATCCAGTAATGTACTTCTTTAGGCACAAGATGGCAGTATCATCCCCAGCAGCATAGACCAGTCCAGGCTCCAAAACGTCATCACACTTTGTAATGCAAGGCAAGGGCGCTTATCATTACTGCCATCTTGTGCCTAAAGAAGTACATTACTGGATGTTCATCATACCTGGTGCAGTATACACCTCCGGAATGTAAGTGCATTTCTTATGGTTTAAACACATTGTACTCTAACACATTTTGCACTAATGCACTGTACACTCTAACTCACTGTACATTAAAGCACTGTACACTCTAACGCACTGTACACTAACACATTTTACACTAACACACTGTACACTCTAACACATTGTACTCTACCACACTGTACACTCTAATGCATTGTACACTCACGCATTGTACACTAATGCACTGTACACTCTAACGCATTGTGCACTAACGTAATGTACAGTAACGCACTGTACACTCTAACGCATTGTACTTTAATGCATTTTACACTAACACACTGTACACTCTAATGCATTGTACACTCACGCATTGTACACTAATGCACTAATGCACTGTACACTCTAACTCACTGTACATTAAAGCACTGTACACTAATGCACTGTACACTAACACATTTTACCCTAACACACTGTACACTCTAACACATTGTACTCTACCGCACTGTACACTCTAACGCATTGTACACTCACGCATTGTACACTAATGCACTGTACACTCTAACGCATTGTGCACTAACGTAATGTACAGTAACGCACTGTACACTCTAACGCATTGTACTTTAATGCATTTTACACTAACACACTGTACACTCTAATGCATTGTACATTAACGTATTGTACACTAACGCACTGAACACTCTATCACATTGTACCCTAAAGCATTGTACTCTATCGCACTATACACTCTAATGCATTGTACACTAACACACTGTACACCCTAACGCATTGTAATCTAACGCAATGTACAGTAATGCACTGTACACTCTAACGCATTGTACAAAAGACGTATTTTACATCAACACACTACACACTCACGCACTGTACACTAATGCACTGTACAGTAACGCAATGTACAGTAACGCACTGTACACTAACGCATTGTACTCTAATGCATTTTACACTAACACACTGTACACTCTAACGCATTGTACACTAATGCACTTTACACTCTAACACATTGTACATTAATACACTGTACACTAACGCACTGTACACTCTAATGCATGGTACACTAACACATTGTACATTAATGCACTGTACACTAACCCAATGTACAGTAACGCACTGTACACTCTAACGCATTGTACTCTAACACATTTTACACTAACGCACTGTACATTCACACATTGTACACTAACACAATGTACAGTAATGCACTGTACACTCAAACTTATTGTACTCTAATGCATTTTACACTAAAAGCACTGTACACTCGAACGCATTGTACATTAACGGATTCTACACTAACGCACTGTACACTCTAACACATTGTACACTAACGCATTGTGCACTAACGCAATGTACAGTAATGCACTGTACACTCTAACGCATTGTACACTAACGCATCGTGCACTAATGCACTGAACACTCGAATGCATTTTACTCTAAAATATTTTACACTTACGCATTGTACTCTAACGCACTGTACACGTTAATGCATTTTACACTAATGCAATGTACAGTAATGCACTGTACACTCTAACGCATTGTACACTAATGCACTGTACACTCTAACGCATTGTACACTAATGCACTGTACACTCTAACGCATTGTACACTAATGCACTGTACACTCTAATGCATTGTACATTAACACATTGTACACTAATGCACTGAACACTAATGCAATGTACACTAATGCAATGTACACTAATGCACTGTACACACTAAAGCATTGTACATTAACACATTGTACAGTAATGCACTGTACACTAATGCAATGTACATTGAGGCACTGTACACTCTAAAGCATTGTACATTAACACATTGTACAGTAATGCACTGTACACTAATGCAATGTACATTGAGGCACTGTACACTCTAAAGCATTGTACTGTAACACATTTTACACTAATGCATTGTACATTAATGCAC